AGAGCCAAAGGGAGCAATGGCCAATAGAAACCCCATGTGTTTGGGAGCATTCCATGTCTGCCATTGACCGGGGTTAGGCACCCAGAAAGGTGGGTATAACAAAACAGACCTCACCTGGTAAGAAATTGCAACTGAAGACTGAACAGAGAGACAGAAGTCCCCCCAAAATGTAAGGAAACAATCAAACAAGCAAACATCATTTACCATTGCCATGCTGCTTGTCCACGCAGCCCTTCCCTCTCCGGGAAGGGGAGGGGGAGCCCTGGACCCCCTGCGCCAGTTACTCATACCTCAAGTTGGGAAGATAAAGATCAAAAGCAAAATGGAATCATCAACCAGAGGGAGGGAGGATTGCCATGGAGCCTCCAGGGCTCACCCAGAAAATACTGTCTCATTACATTCAACATTGGTTTTCTGTGGGGAGCCCCCTAATTTCTCTAGAGCTACTTAATCAAAGAAGGAAATGAGGGACTTACCCAAAAGGCAGCTGCCACACACACATCCACTCAAACGCGAGACAACTGGCCTCAACCTGCAACCCCAAGCCACACACGAACGACTGGCACCAGGAATACTGAGCAAAGAATGGGCGGCCAGGACCCTGTTCGACCTCCAAAACTCCAGTGCCCAAATGTCAGCTCAAGACACATTGCCAAACATGGCAGCCACAGCAGCACACTGACGAACGTCATGGGCACAAGGATAGACCTCAGGCTGGCTAGACTTAACCCTTTAATTGCGCATCGCATCATATGATGCTCTGACCGACTTGCAGTAAATTGCGCATCGCATCATATGATGCTTTGGAGTACTACGCAAGATTTAAACGGCCCGTGGATACACGGGGTTCACCACACCTTCATCAGGGCTCTTGTAAACAGACACCATTTTAAAAAAAAATCGTGGGCCAAACTCCCGGGTGTTATTGGCCTCAGTATTGAGTGAGCAACCAAGCCTGACACACGCAGCATGAACTCGCAGCACTGCTGTTCAGCTTGTGGCCACAGCATCGCCTAAAAATGCCATAATATTCTTGTTCATGCTATTATGTAGCGATGATATTATTACAGAAGACCCCTGACTGTGATAAAACTGACCAGGGTTCTGATAATAGCAGGATTGTGGTGATATTTAGCGCTGTGCACCATGGAGGGAGGAGTAATGCTGTGCGAGGGAGGGTAGTGGCGTTATCTTCTGACTGTGTGTGGCCACCTTTTATTGACTGCACTCACCATACCAGCTTAGTGGTTCGCTATGGTGAACACAAATGTAGATACTTATATATAACGTGTGTATAGAGGGTATAAACAGCAAGAGGAGTAGATTGGGAGCTGCCATTTTGGTGAGGGAGGAGCATTGTCTGCAGGACTTACCATGTTGTTTACTGATGACCACGATGGTCTTTGGGCACCATACCAGTTTACTTGTGCAAGTATGGTGAATAAAACAGGTAGATATTTATATATAATGTGTGTATATAGCGTAATAGCACCACAAACAGTATTGTTGTAGGAGAAATATTAGTGCGTCTGGCCTTGAGGGCGGCAGCCATCAGCTGACTGTGTGAGGTCCTACGTCTTTGTGCCTTTACTCACCATACAAGCTTAGGTGTACAGTTATGGTGAACAAAACATGCAGATACTTATATATAACCTGTGTATGTAATGTAATATCCGACAAAGTATTTGTTCACTGTTTGATGAACATAATTGAATCAACAATATGCACACCATATTTTTTAGTACAGTGATGATTCACTCATTTTATTATATAAATATATCACACTACACACTATTGAATAATATTACAGCAAAAAAACTACGAAAAATCAATCAGAGACATTGAAATAATTAGGTAATTATCTCTTTGTGGCAACTCCGGCCTGACAGCTGGCGATCAACAGACCGCCTGGGACGCACGCTCAGTCAGCGCCTATTTTTTGCCAGAATTCCCCGCCCTATAGCAGGCAATATATGCCACTTAGGTTTTTTTTATTATTTTTCCCGTGATCAGTGAACACAAATTAACAGGTTAGGAAGAAAAAATATATATATTTTTTTTTATGCGCCTGTGGGTGTCAAATGGTATATAGCTATATCTTGAGGTTATCTTGAGATGATTTCGGGGCTTTTTTAGTGTCCCCGCGGCCCGGTCCTCGACCAGGCCTCCACCCCCAGGAAGCAGCCTGTGACAGCTGACTAACACCCAGGTACCTATTTACTGCTAGGTAACAGGAGCATAGGGTGAAAGAAACTCTGCCCATTGTTTCTCGCCGGCGTTTGGGATCGAACCCAGGACCACAGGATCACAAGTCCAGCGTGCTGTTCGCTCGGCCAACCGGCTCCACCACCACCATAGCTCCAACCTATGCGCCATTTAAGGGTTAATAACCCTGCTGATGACCTGAAAGAACCGAGCCCTAGAACAGGGAATGAGGGGAAATCGGATCAATCCAAAGCGCGTCCCCGCCCACAGAAGCTAAGGTGCGCAAATAACGGCGAAGAGCCGCAACCGCACACAACACATGATGCACCCCCCGGCCTGACCAACCAAGCATTAACCTCTGTGATGCACTGAGTATATTGTAACATTCCCCTTGTGCACTTAAAATGTTCGCAACCTTTTATTTTATCTTTGTAAAATGATAAATTCTCTTCCCTGAACACGTACATATAAAAAACTAAAAAATCCCACATTCTTTGGCTGTAGGCATGTGGAGAAAACGCCATCACGGGCAGGTCGCCCGTGCATGAAGCTCACATAGGCGGTCGCAAGGGCCTCGCGGGCCATTCAAGCCCCACAAGTTGCCACAAATATATTTTCAATTATTTGTTCTATGTATTTCCAATGCAGTTTTATTTATTTTTGTATTGTATATGATGCATATTTGTGTTCTTTACAATATGTTTACAGTAGAACGTTCATAATGTTCCGTGCTACTGTGATACATGTGTCAGTAATGTGTCCACAATAAATGTTTTTGTCGCAATATTACTTGTTCAAATTTCACTAAAGTTACAATATGTACATGTTTACACACTACACAGTAACACACTGTATTTACACTCTCAGGTACCAGGTACAAACAGATTTTCACTTCCTGTTTCTTCGTTCTGAGTGCCTGCAAATAACGCACTCACGTACACCCTTGGCATTAGTACCTGTAGAAGGTATGTAGCCAAATTTGTAAAGTGAAAAGTAGTCTTGAAAAGATTATAGAAAAAGATCAATTTGTAAGGTAGTCTTGAAAAAATTGCTTTTTAAAGTATTTTGGAAGATTCAGTCATTCTGGAGGAGCTTCAAGTACAGTACTGTATTCTGGAAGAGATTCAGCCATTCTGGAAGAGATTCAGCTATTTTTTAAAAGATCTATAGAAAACACCACAATGGAAGCTGCTAACACTGTTCATATATGCTACTTGTATCAGATGCATCAACACTGAACCCAGAAAACGATTCATCTATGTATCATCTACAAAAATTGAAGATAACATAGGTGAGCATGGGTGGCACTCGGCTACTACTGGATAAACAATGCTTGTTGTATCGTCCTCATCGGTGCTGTATCACTTGCATCCGACCCTTGTATTAGGTCATTATTGTGCCAAGCTTCATCATTATCATGACCCTTATGTTCTTCAAATAATAAGGTCTGAATTTCACTGATAGAGAGCGATTTTTCAACATCATGTCAGACAGGTGTTTGGGAGCCAGAGGCGCGTGCGCCGCCCATGGTTGCTCCCTCGGTACTTAGCCAGCCAGCCAGCAGCCCTAGGACATTTTGGGATTTTTTTCCAAGATGGCTGCCTCTCACTGGAGGTCCCAAGAGTCCATTTCGTACACAATCACGAGAGTATATTGAATGGGTACAAAATATTCAAAAGGTGTTTTCTCTGTTAGCGCAGTTTCCCACCGACCGAGATTTCTCGGTTGGTGCAGCACAGTGGTTAATTACCTGAGGGGCCCCTCCGGAAGCCCGTTGCCTCGTTCTTCGCCAAAAAAGGAGGAAACAGCTGTAACTGAACAAACCAACCACCAGGACCGAAAGAGCAGAAACCCCTGCACCAAAGAAGAGCAAGAAGCTCACCAACCCGACTCCCAGAGGCCAATACTAACAAAAACAGAGCCTTGGAGAAACAATCATGAACCGAAGTGGCCACCACAAACCAAGGAGAAGTGAAAAGAGAGAGTATCCGGTCCAAGGACCAGGATGTCTTAGATGGAGCATGAGTAGGACGGAGGTGAAACAAGGCACAAGAAAACTTACGAAACGGGGCCAAAGTGACATCTACTCTGAACGCAAGCTGGAGTGGCTCCGCCATCGCTACACGATAAGAGGCAACAGTATTGAGCACCAAATGATGGTCCTGAAAAAGCCATGAAATGACAAAACAAAACGAATGGAAATAGAGGACAACCCACGAAGAGAGAGGCAAGAGAGTAAGGAAACTTCATACTGTTGCCAAGACAAAACTCGCAAGTGGGACACCATCAACGAAGCCACCTGATCACCAAATAAGTAGTGATACCCACATCAGAAAGACTAAGACGCAAAGAGCGGAGGAGTAGACCGAACCAGCCATGTATTGGACCAGTCCGATCTGTTGAAAGAGGCGGAGTCGCGGAAAACACCCGAATTCTGACACCAAGCAAGCAGCACCTGAAACCAAGGTTGGATGCTAGATTTCTAATAAGTATTCATGAAACTAAGTTTCTAGGGTAGTCTCATTCCTGAAGTGTCCATATGCAGCACTGTTGATTATACAGAATAATTTTCCTTATATTTTTTACAACATTATTTACTCCTTCTACAGGTTCATACCCAAACCAAAATATAAAGATGAATTTGTAATATGGTATTACTGTATTGTTTCTTTGACAATTGTGATAAAGACTTTCTAGTTTACACTGGAAACAAATTCAGTCACTTTCTATCATTGTATGTATTTTATGTTAATTATTAAAAAAAAAATCTAACATTGAGTTTAAACCTAAAACAGATGGACTAGTGGATCAGATTGTCGTTCCCCTAACCAGAAGGGCTTGCAGTTCAGTGGTTGCCCTCCAAATCGCTACTACTTTTCTGGGTTTTCAGCTCTCCAGACTCTTATTGATATTGCCATTATTAGGGTAAGTTTTCAGTGTAAGTGTTTACAGTATAAGTTTTCAGGGAAGGCTATGTTGGAGGCACCCTAGAGCGCTTTACTCAATTCAAGTCACACAGGCCTTTGTGAGTCAACAAAAATGTACTGAGAACCAGAGGCCAAAAACCATGAACGTTCTGTAGAGGTCATGTGTCTAATGAAACATCTGAAATGCTATGCGTGCTAGTGGCTTTGCAAGAATGTGAGAACCCCAATGTTATGTACTTTTCACAAACCCTCTTGTGTATGTATATATATATATATATATATATATATATATATATATATATATATATATATATATATATATATATATATATATATATATATATATATACAGTGCTTCCTCAGACTAACGAACCCCGCTCTATCGAATTCCCGGAAGAGCCGAACAAATTGAATTCGGTACCAAATGTTCAGTGGAACATACAAATGTTCGATTAAGTGAGGAATGTTCGTCCAAGCGGTCACCGAGGCCGAGCGTCAGAGCTGGCTGTCATCAACTATGATTCGCCAGAGTGTAAACAGTTATGTAGTGTTTTATTATCCCTACCCATTGTTTCTAGGGAGAAATGGTGATAAAAATGGTGATAAAATGGTGTCAGGGGGGCATTGGTGAGAGAGTTGTTGTCAGGAGGCAACACGTGCTCCCCCGCCCCCACCCTCCTTCCTCCACCTGACCACAGAGACCACTCACTCTCCTCTCATCGTCAGATGCCAAGAGTCAATTTAATGATAATTATCGCATTATCTACACTGAAAATAGCCTTTTTATTAGAAAAATGTCATATTGGAGCAATAATAATGGTGAAAATTGTAATATATACAGTACATATTTTAAACAGTTTGAACACATTTCCTTTTCACAGAATTTTTAATACAATTGGGGTGTAGATAACAGCCGGCATTGTGTGGCCGGCCGGTCGCTCCCTGAGCCATTGGGGGGGTAGGGGGTGGGAGGGGGGGGGGGGTTGTTTCCTGGATCCATCCCTCCCTCCCTCTAACAGCCTACGTATTGTACTAATACCTATAAATTTTGAGGAGGCCAATAAAACAAGCACAGGTCATGTGAACGTTAGGCCTTGGTGAGGTGGCTGGCATCATTTGTGGTGGTGTCAGGGGAGGCAGGTGGGGTCAGGGGAGGCAGGCGGTGTCAGGGGAGGCAGGCGGTGTCAGGGGAGGCAGGTGGTGTCAGGGGAGGCAGGTGGTGTCGGGGGAGGCAGGTGGTGTCAGAGGAGGCAGGCGGTGTCAGAGGAGGCAGGCAGTGTCAGGGGAGGCAGGTGGTGTCAGGGGAGGCAGGTGGTGTCAGAGGAGGCAGGCGGTGTCAGAGGAGGCAGGCGGTGTCAGGGGAGGCAGGTGGTGTCAGGGGAGGCAGGTGGTGTCAGGGGAGGCAGGTGGTGTCAGAGGAGGCAGGCGGTGTCATGGGAGGCAGGTGGGGTCAGGGGAGGCAGGCAGTGTCAGGGGTGGCAGGTGGGGTCAGGGGAGGCAGGTGGTGTCAGGGGAGGCACATGGGGTCAGGGGAGGCAGGTGGTGTCAGGGGAGGCACATGGGGTCAGGGGAGGCAGGTGGTGTCAGGGGAGGCAGGTGGGGTCAGGGGAGGCAGGTGGGGTCAGGGGAGGCAGGTGGTGTCAGGGGAGGCAGGTGGTGTCAGAGGAGGCAGGCGGTGTCATGGGAGGCAGGTGGGGTCAGGGGAGGCAGGTGGGGTCAGGGGAGTCAGGTGGGGTCAGGGGAGGCAGGCGGTGTCAGGGGAGGCAGGAGGTGGAAAGAGGCAGGTGGTGTCAGGGGAGGCAGGTGGGGTCAGGGGAGGCAGGCGGTGTCAGGGGAGGCAGGTGGGGTCAGGGGAGGCAGGTGGTGGAAAGAGGCAGGTGGTGTCAGGGGAGGCAGGTGGGGTCAGGGGAGGCAGGCGGTGTCAGGGGAGGCAGGCGGTGTCAGGGGAGGCAGGTGGTGTCAGGGGAGGCAGGTGGTGTCAGGGGAGGCAGGTGGGGTCAGGGGAGGCAGGTGGGGTCAGGGGAGGCAGGTGGGGTCAGGGGAGGCAGGTGGGGTCAGGGGAGGCAGGTGGTGTCAGGGGAGGCAGGTGGGGTCAGGGTAGGCAGGTGGGGTCAGGGTAGGCAGGTGGGGTCAGGGGAGGCAGGTGGGGTCAGGGTAGGCAGGTGGGGTCAGGGGAGGCAGGTGGGGTCAGGGGAGGCAGGTGGTGGAAAGAGGCAGGTGGGGTCAGTGGTGGAAGGTGTTGTCAGGGGAGGTGGAAGTGGAGAGAGAAGGGTGGTGACCACGCATGGCTGCCAAACCTCTCATTCATACTCTATTATAAATCTCAATCTTAGCTGTAAAATATTTATGCCAAAATATGTTAATTTTCGTGTATTAATATACATTATTAATCATTAACACGTTTTATTGTTTCCTGAAGAAAACAATAGCTGACTTGGCATTGTGGTGTGTATGGCCGGGTACCTGGGGGGGGGGGGGGGGGTCCTGGAGGTGTGAGAGGAGACCTGTCAACCCATCATTTTTTTTTTTTGTCGGGCGAGTTGAGACGCTTCCAAGCCTGCTGCTTCAATACACAGTGTGGGTGGTGTGGTTGGGTGTGGGGGGATGATGTGTGTGGGGTGGGTGGTGGTGTGGGGTGTGTGGGGGATGATGTGGGTGGTGGTGTGGGGTGTGTGGGTGGTGGTGTGGGGAGTGTGGGTAGTGGGGGCGAATGGTGTTAGTGGTGTTGGGGATGGTGTGGGGGTGTGGGGGATGGTGTGGGTGGTGTTGGGGATGATATGGGTGGTGTTGGGGATGATATGGGTGGTGTGGGTGGTGGTGTGGGGTGTGTGGGGGATGGTGTGGGTGGTGGTGTGGGGTGTGTGGGTGGTGGTGTGGGGAGTGTGGGTGGTGGGGGCGAATGGTGTTAGTGGTGTGGGGGATGGTGTGGGTGGTGTGGAGGATGGTGTGGGTGGTGTGGGGGATGGTGTGGGTGGTGTGGAGGATGGTGTGGGTGGTGTGGAGGATGGTGTGGGTGGTGTGGGGGATGGTGTGGGTGGTGTGGATGATGGTGTGGGTGGTGTGGAGGATGGTGTGGGTGGTGTGGGGGATGGTGTGGGTGGTGTGGGGGATGGTGTGGGTGGTGTGGGGGATGGTGTGGGTGGTGTGGGGGATGGTGTGGGTGGTGTGGGGGATGGTGTGGGTGGTGTGGGTGGTATGGGAGATGGTGTGGGTGGTGTGGAGGATGGTATGGGTGGTGTGGGGGATGGTGTTGGTGGTGTGGAGGATGGTGTGGGGATGGTATGGGTGGTGTGGGGATGGTATGGGTGGTGTGGAGGATGGTGTGGGTGGTGTGGAGGATGGTGTGGGTGGTGTGGGGGATGGTGTGGGTGGTGTGGAGGATGGTGTGGGTGGTGTGGGGGGTGGTGTGGAGGATGGTGTGGGTGGTGTGGAGGATGGTGTGGGTGGTGTGGAGGATGGTGTGAGTGGGGTGGGGGATGGTGATTCTCGCATCTCAGATTATTATTGACACCAAAAGAGCATGAAAGATATTATAATGAAGCACCACACAACAAAGAAACAAACTAATGTGTCCTGGCATGTTTAAAAAAAAAAAATAAGAAGGTTGTTGGGGCCGGACGGATGGAACGAATTCCGCACTGGAACGAATCGGCTTCGCCCCATATAGTTCGTTCAAGTGAGGACACACTGTATATATATATATATATATATATATATATATATATATATGCATATATATATACACAGTATATATATAAAACCAGCGTTGAATGTAATGAAACGCCATTTTCTGGGCGAGTCCCGGAGGCTCCCTGGAGCTTAACAGGCTGATATGCTAATGTCAGACTTTGGCATCAGTCATGTGTATGGAGTTCTTATGTGCCTACTGGGGACCACAAGCCAAAACCTGGCCCCCTCTAGAAAGGCAAGGGGAGCAATGGCCTATAGAAACCCCCGTGTGGTTGGAAGCATTCTATGTCTGCCATCGACCGGGTTAGGCACCCTGAAAGGTAGGCGTCCCAAAACAAACCCCTATTCTGGTGAAAATTGCAACCAAAAACCGAACAAGTGGATAGAACTCCCCGAACAAAAACGAGCAAAGTAGTGTGACGTCACCCGTCATCGCGCCGTTGTCTGCGCAGCTCCCCCTTTTCCGGGAGGGGGAAGGGGTAGCCCTAGACATACCACGCTAGCGATCCACACCCCAGTTCTGAGGCTGGATGTCAAAACACGCAAAAAAACGCCAACCGGAGGGAGGGAGGGATAGAGGGGAGCCTCCGGGACTCACCGAGAAAATGGCGTTTCGCTACATTCAACGCTGGTTTTCTGAGGGGAGCCCCTATGGCTCCCCGGAGCTAACTACCTACAAAGGAAAAGAATAGGGACGGACCCGGGAGGTGGTCGTCGCACACTACTCAACCCTAAGTCGAGACAACAGGCTACATCCGCCGACCCAAAGCAACTCAGGCCCGACTAGGCCCAGGAACGTGTACAAGGTAATGAGCAGCCAAGGACCTTGTCCGACCGCCAATTCCCCGTGCCCGAATGTCCTCCCAGGACACAGTACCAAAGACGGCAGCAAGAGCCGCGAACTTGCGGACGTCATGGGCATGGAGATAGACCGCAGGCTGGCGAGCCTTAAGAACCTCGCGGACGTCCTGGGAGACCCGCACCCTCGAACAGGGAAGAAGGGAAACGGAGCAACCCAAAGAGCGTCCACGGACTCAGAAACCGTGGCGCGCCAATAACGGCGGAGAGCCGCAACCAGACAAAAACAAAATGCACCCCTGGCCCAACCAAAGCATCAGCAACCCAGGGACCCCTCCAGAAAGCAGCAGTCTCCTTCTCTGCCAGAAAAGAAGAAGGCAGCAGACGACCAAACCGATAACCCCGACCGAAGGAGCAGAAAAACCCCTGCACAGGAGGAGAGCATGAAGCTCACCTATCCGACCCCCAGAGGGCAATGCCAACCGGAAAAGAGCCATCGAAAAACAAACT